TCCTCCCAAGTTTTAAAAGAAACCAAAGCTGTTGCTTCGAATTTCAAAAACCCACGCACTCCTCCTTCTGGACCGATCACATACTGTATATTACTCTGTTATTGGAGCAGGCCAGTAAGATTAGAAGACTGGAACTACCTTTTAACTGTATAAATATGAAACATCACTTGAGCGAAACACAGGCGGATCTATTAATATTAAAGACAAGAGCAGATCACTGCTGTGGCATAAAACATCTTATTAAATCTAAATGCACTTCAGCAAGTATTAATTAAATTGATCAATGTTGGCATAAAATACATTTATAATGTTATAAAGATTTATCTATTTCATCTATTATAAACTTTCTATTTATCAAAAAAATTCTGAAAAAAAATGATCACAGATTGCACAAAAAATATTAAGCAGCACAACTGTTTTCAACATTGATAATAATAAGAAATATTTCTTGATCACCAAATTAGAAAATTAGAAGGATTTTTAAAGTAATTTCTGAAGTAATGGCTGCTGAAAATTCAGCTTTCCCATCAAATGAATAAATTACATTTTAAAATATATAAAAAATAAAAAAGGTATTTTAAATTGTAATAATATTTCACAGTATTACTGTTTTACTGTTTTATTTTGATACAATAAATCCAGCCTGGAGGGTAGTATATAATAAAAACTTTCAAAATGTTAGATTGCGTTGAGATTACTCCATACATTTATGAGAATAACCGTTATTTACTGTAATTTATCAACAGCCCTAATGGCGAGACCCAATTTACGTCTTACATTTGCTTCCGAAGGAATTATGATCTGTTTGTGACATTGAATCTTTATTCAAGAAGTTTATTTTCTTTCTATTGACATATTTTCTTTGTGAGAAAGAGAAGAAAGAGAAAGAGGGATAAAGGGAGCTAGGAGACCGATACAAAGAGAGGAAAGAATATATGAGATAAGTATGTGGGGGGATGGTGTTGATGTTACAGAATATGTTTAGAGAGAGAGAGGTGATGTAGGCTGTATGGCACAGAAATGTGTTATTTTACCCTTTTTGTTTGGCTGTTTCATTGATAGATTAGCATTTTTCGCTCCCCTGCTGCCCGCACCTCACCTCATCTGTACAGCAGATGATTTTCTCATCACTCCTATCAAGACAGCTTTGCTTTGTTCGGATAAGACACAAATATATAACTGTTTCATAAGAAAGGGAAAGTTTGTTCTTCACAATCTGTGTAGGATTTCACACTTTGTGTGGTTATCTTTGATGAAAACCTTTCGCCCACCTGATGGGAGTAGGGGTGTAAAAACTGTTTGGACAATGAAAATTCATGAAAAAATAAAATTTACAGTACCGGTTAAAAAGTTTAAAACAACAGCATTTATTCAAAATATAAATCTTATCTAACAATATAAATCTTTACTTTCACTTTTTATCATATGTATTATCAGATGCTCGTCCATGCCTTTGAATTTAATTTATATATTTTATATCTAGGTTGTTAATTAATCGTTAACATGAATGACAAATGTCATGCAGTAGGTCATAGATTTAGTCTCGTAGATTTTATCTTAGGTGTGGGCAATTGGAAAACCATTTATTGTATTATTACATTACATCAGTTGATATAAAATATATTTAAAAATACTTTTTGAAAGTTACACAGCACATCCTGTCATATATGTTAAAAGAAAAACCAAACAAAAACTGAAAACACCTTCACTTTCTCTCTCTCAGTCTCTCACACACTTTTTTCTCACCCACCTATCACACACACACAGCACGTTCAGACGCACATTTCCTGTGGACAGGCCTGGGAATACTTTGCTTTGACTTTAACATCTGTGAAAGAGTTTGGCAGTAATTTCATTTTGAAGTAGTTGGAGCTTCAAAGGCTGGTTGTAAATGTGACAGGGACATACATCCTTATTTAGGAGCCTGAACACACACACGCTGTGGATATTCCACACATGCTTCTCTTTAATTGCGAGATGTAGAATATTTAGATGTTCAGGGGAGGCAATGAAATAGACGGCTATAAAAAGGCCAGAGCCTGCAAGGACCCCTGCTGAATAAAACTGCGCTTCCATCTGCTTCCAATCTGTGTGCATGCATGGCAATCAAATGTGCATTCAATACTGTATGTCTTTGTATTCTTGTTTAACTGGTGTGTTGGCTTTTCTAAACAGGTCTGTGCAATGTAAACATCTATTTCAGAGCCCATGCTCTATGTAAGATCCTTATATAATGTTTACCGCGCAATGGCAGGTAAACATTGTTTACATGTTGTGTATTTGTAAGCTCTTCAACAATAGTCAGTGCCGTGTGCTTATCAGGCAGAATAGTTCTCAGAAGCTCACGTTTCTGAGATTACCAAAGGAAAAAACGCCAAGTGTCCTTCCTGGCCTCTTGATGATTTGTGCTTTTGTTACCTGAGGGATGAAATGTGTTTGCCTATGTTAGTGCTCGAGTTTGAGCACAAAAATCTTAGGGAGGGTTTAAATGGGTCAGGCCATTGTGTAATAGAGAGAGTTCTGGAAAGCTCCAAGGACATTACCTGAGCTCATGTTTGCATTGGGTTTACTGTTTGAAATATAATATATGTGTTTTGTACTAGTGAGACATTTTGGTTAAATATCTATACATGTCTTTATACATATATGTTACTATATTGTACACTACTACTGTATATCAGGTATTTTAATGTTTTTGAAAGAAGTGTATTGCTCACCAGGGCTACATTTATTTGAAACAGTTATATTGTTAATTGTTAAATATTATGAACATTTTAAATAACTATTTTAAAATGTAATTTGTTCCTGTGATGGCAAAGCAGAATTTTTAGCAGCCATTACTCCAGTCTTCAGTTAAATTATTCTAATATGCTCAAGAAACATTTCTTATTTCTGTTGAAAACTTAATTCTTTGAAGAATAGAAAGTTCAAAAGAATAGCATTTACTATAATGTCATTTCATTGTCACTTTTGATCATTAATTACTGACTGAACTTTTCTCTTACTGACTGAACTTTTGCAGTGTGTACGTGCAGCCTACTTATTCCTAATTTCATATTGTTAAATGCCTGGATACTGTCGCGTAGGTTTGATTTTGAAATTGGTGGGGACGGGGACATCAATAAATAAATATATTTTAAGTTTTGATCGAAATTATTGCTAGGGATATATCAGTGTCACTGGATATTGGTAGGGACACGTCCCCAGCGTCGGTCCCTACTAAATTCTACGCCCCTGCTGCTAGATAGTATTATACAAGGCGCTGTAACATAAATATACATGAAATATTGAAGTAATATTATTACATTTATAATTTGTATAAAAATATAATGCATAAATATTTATATATATATAGTATTTTATTATCAGCTAATATAATAATAAATATAAGTATCGGCACCACAGTATTAATCAGAGTTTTGGAATTTAGGGTTAAATCCATTAAAGTAAGTATGGGGAAGTTGTTTTATTACCACAGATATGCATTGAGTTCAGTATTTGTAAAAAAAAAAAATAATAATAAAAGAAATAAAAAACAATTATTTACAGACACGTGTATCTGAAAACATTTGAAAACTCATATGGTTTCTCTAATAACTACTCCATCTGTTCAGTCAATCCAGAATTATGAATGTTATGCAGATTAATGTCCTCTCTTTCTCTCTGTCTTTCTGTGTGTGTGTGTGTGTGTGTGTGTTGATCTTGACATCTGGCTAGGTGTACCTTTCTAGGAGTAATTCTCAGTAAATCCAAAACCTAGACAATAGTCACTCTATAAACAAGGGGAGACCAAGGTCATTCGTGTAAACGAATAAGACCATGTCTTGAGTCTGGACTAATTAAAGGGACTGCTTTTGAAGGAGTACAGAAGAGAACATTAAATAACCAAGAGGAAGTCCAACATCTCATATAAAATGAATAGAAAATAAAACAGCTCATAAAATATTTAGTTTGACCTCCTGGGGTAGAAATGGCTTAGTCTTTAAAGAATTTCAGGCTCTATTTTTGGAAATAGACAAGTATATTTAAATAATATCTGTACTTTGGGTAATTTTTTAAATGGTTGACTTTTTATTTTGTGATTTGCGGTTTTCTGTGCGTTTTTTTTCTGATCAGTCGAATCCTTGTATTAACCCTGCTAACTGGGAACATTCTCAGAACTTTGGCTAACATTTCATAGGTGGAACAAACAGTCTTCCAGTAACATTAATGGAACATGTTCAAACTTATCTGGTCTTTAAAAAAAATTCTAGCACAAAAACATTATTTATACATTGTTCATGGAACTTTTTTTCTGTTGTACGTTCGTTTAATGTTTTTGTTACTTCTTTCTTGTTTCAGAATGTTTTTCAGAACATTCAAAAGTAATGTTCCCATAATGTTTTAAGGAGGGATTGTTCCCTAATGTTTGCATTATGCAAGAAAAAAAACCCACTTGAACATTCAGTTAAAAGTTAAAAGTTTTATAACTTAATGGGAACGTTAGCAAAACGTTCTTAAAACATATTTGTTTCAGTTTCGGTTTTTGAAATCACAGGTGTAATGCGATAAATTTGTTCTTAGAGAAGTCTTTTTATATAATTTAAAAGCTTAAAATATAATTAGAACTGTCTTTTTTTTTTATTAATATAATATTTTATTGTTTTTTGAGTGTAATGCAATTGACCTTAGGTTAAAGTTTAAGGTCAGTGTTTATTTTTCTCTCTATGTGTGAAACTCTCTATTCGTTCTAACCCAGTACCAAGATTATAAAATGTATGTAATAACTGCTAAATTATGGACTGTGATCTGTGATTTGATCTATTGGTAATATACTGTTGGTGTTGTTTTTGACATGTACATATTGATGACGTAGCTGTCAATAACTATTTGAGCATACAGTTCCACTTTTTAAAAGGTAATGGTTAAAATAACTGGCAAAGCATCGTTTAGTTGTTATTTGTGTCAGTTAATGTGCATACAGACTCATGCCATTAACTGTGTATGTTTTTGTGTGACAGGTGAGCCGGAGTTTAAGTACATTGGGAACATGCATGGTAATGAGGCCGTGGGCAGAGAGCTGCTCATCTATCTGGCTCAGTATCTCTGTAACGAGTACCAGGAGGGCAACGACACCATTATCGACCTGATCCACTCCACACGTATTCACATCATGCCCTCCATGAATCCTGACGGCTTCGAGAAAGCAGCCTCACAGGTAAACACACACACACATCTTACACAATAAAAGAAGAATCTAAAATCTAGAATGCAGTTGTAGCTCTTTATAAACTGTATGTGATGGACAGAATCATATTTAGAACTATGAAACAAGATGGACGAAGCTGCTACAGTAAGCCCTGGTTGTACAGTATTTTGAGTTTTCAGGTATCACTGGTTGACTAGTCTGGTGTTCAACATCTTTTAGCAGATAGTTGTTTTGCCAGAATGCATGGGTGCTGATTTCATAACACTATACTGTGGTTTACCACATCCTTCTGCAGCCTGTACTCACACAAGTGTGGGCTTTGACATTTCAAGACACAGTTGACATATTTTATACACGGGGCCCCTGGACTTTTAGTTTAACGTTTGTTGAGGGGAAACCGAGAGATTATTAAACACCTCGCTGGGATGTGGTTTACCACACTGCTTTACTGCTTCAGAAGTAATAAATATCTGTGCTGACCACAAAGCAAACATGCGTCGTCTCTGGGCTTTTGTGATCGTTTCAGAGGTGGATGGAAAGTCCTGTCCTGTCCTGGCAACTAAAAGCACAAAGGTTGCATATTTTATATAGTACATATTTTATGCAAATTTCTTTAGAAAATGATTTCAGTAGGACAGAGAGGATAATAGAGGTCACAGATGAGATAAATTCTTGTGTCATTGATATGGGTTTTGTTTGTACCTTAAAACGGTTGTAACGGTTTTTCTTTTCTTTGTGGGACACACTTTAAGAGACATTTTGCCATGTCTTTACACAGCTCTTTTCCATAAAATGACTCCAAAAAACAAACACAAAACACAAAAAAAGTACCTTAAAGGTGCAGTGTGTATTTTTTAGCGACATCTACCGGTTCGGTTGCGAGTTGCACTAAGGGCTCAGCCCACCGCTCATCCCTCCCTTTCGAAGAAGCTACGGTGGCTAAAACGGGACAAACATATCGTCGTCTGAGACAGCAGAGAATAGCCAGAGTAAGCCAAGAGTGTGTAACATTGTCACTGTTTCTGTACCACAGTCCATTATAAACCACATCATGGATAAAGTTTACAAAGCCATAGTCAGGTGAGGATCAAGGGTCTTAATATATAATATAATAAATGATAGTAATCAGCTGATTGTCTCACAAACGTAACCATCACATTTCTCCCCACATAGCAAACCCATAATACAGCGAGGGAGAAGAACCACATGAAACTCTGCAACTATATATTTTTTCTAACAGGGTAGTAAAAGTTTAGCTGGCTAAATATGAGCTGTTACTGTGGCTGAGCTGGTTAAAGCGTAAAGCCTTGTTTAAACTCGACACGTCCGCATGAGCTCAAAGGTGCGTGCGGCAAAAATGACATGATTGTAACAGCGCGCGCGCCTCCGCATCCCCTAGACACCATTTACTACACACAATAGGCTTTTTTTCTCTGATTTTGAAAACTCTTCACGATCGACTTAAAATGCTTCCAAGATCGACTTGTCAACCGCGATCGACGGGTTGTGATTCCTGTAACATACTGTAAGGTCAATGACGAGTACTAATCAGCTGTCTCACGAACGTAACCAGCACATTTATCCCCACATAGCAAAGCCATAACACAGCGAGGGAGAAGAACTAAGTTATATGAAACAATCCAACTACATATTTTACACCACTGACAAGGGAAAAGTCCCTATTCACGGTATTTATGGCTAGCTTCTAGCTTTCTGCTGCTTCTCTTTCAAGGTAGTGACGAAACGCAACCAAATTTTTATCCAATGGTTTTTATCAACCAAATGCCTGGATTTAATAAATAAGAAGCGAATATTACGAGATAATATAATCATGGAAGCGCCGGCGTGGTCACTTGCATTGCACGTTAACTGGAGCATCTCATCATAAATTAACCGAAACTCAAGGTATAGAATTTAAGCTTGAAATGTCTTTAAACGAAACAATTCAAAACGAACAGAAATAGTCTACTCTCTGATTATGTTATCCATTATGTGCATTTCTCTCTGGGGCGTTCACTACGGAGATGGCGATCGCGGTCAAATCTATCAAATGAGGGAGATCGCTGTCAAATCCCAGGGACAGATAATCTGTCCCTGGGGAAAGCAACGTTGCGCCGAATTGAAAAAGGAACTACGTTTCGTTAGCAAATTTTCAGTAGTAGCGCGTTACACTACTTTTTACCCGAAAAAGTAGTTACGTTACTGTAACGCGTTACTTTGTAACGGGTTACACACAACACTGGCTACGGTAGAAACATGAAGTCACAATATGTCGACCTTCATAGAAGGGGGTGCCCGCGGTTATGTAGATATAAATATCTCATTCTAAGGTAATAAAAACATTACGGTTTATTAAGTAAGTTCTTTATACACCACTGAAAACATAGTTATGGATGTCATATTGCATTTCTGTTAATAGATAATCAAAAATTTTACACATTGCACCTTTAAAAGTCACTATGTACTTTACTGGTATGGAAAAAGCTGCATAAAGATTCTTTTTAAAAAATAGCATAAGCGTAAGATTGCACGTTTGGGATAAATTTTACTTACTACTTAAAAATAGAGAGCTTATTATTTTTTAAATAATGTTTTTAGTGATTGTGATAATTTTGCTAATGGCGTTATTTATCATAATATATATGTGCAGTCTGGTGAGATGAAGGACTGGTTTGTGGGCCGCAGCAATGCTCAGGGGATTGATCTGAACCGCAACTTTCCAGATCTTGATCGCATCGTCTACATGAACGAAAGAGACGGAGGATCCAACAATCACCTCCTGAAAAACCTGAAGAAAGCTGTGGATGAAAACACCAAAGTGAGAAAGGGTTTGATCAACTATTTGTCAAAAATTGCAGCATGGTATTAGTAGTGTTACACATCAAGGAAGAGAATCAGTGGTTTTTGGGCTGGTAAAATGAATGATTGGACCTGTGTATGTTACAGCTCGCACCAGAGACTAAGGCTGTCATTCACTGGATTATAGACATTCCATTTGTCCTGTCAGCCAATCTGCATGGAGGAGACGTGGTGGCCAACTACCCATATGATGAGACACGCAGTGGTGAGTAACCACACATATACAGTATTATACACAAAAAACATACAAACTTATATAGAATATACAGTATATATTATTATTCTTTTAGTGAGCTTATAATATAATATAAAATAATATAATATAATAATAAAATTAATTTAATTTAATTCAAAAGTTTTGTCAGTAAGATTTCAAAAAAGAAATGAATACTTTTATTTAGCAAGAATGCAATAAATTGATCAAAAGGGACATTGTTTCTATTTCAAATAAATGCTGTTCTTTTGTACTTTCTATTAATCAAATAATGCTGAAAAAACTGTATCATGATTTCCACAAAAATATTAAAGGGATACTCCACCAGTTTTTCTTATTAAACTATGTTATTCCCTTAACCAAGACGAGTTGATCCATACCTCTCTCGTCTCAGTGCGTGCACTATATCGCTCTGTATTGCCGCAAAACTATGTTAGCACTTAGCTTAGCCCATGCATTAAATATGGGCCAAGCAGAGAAGCGACCAAACACTTCCACGTTTTCCCTATGTAAACACAGTTACTCAGTAAAATACACAGTAAAATTGATGACTATATTGTATGGCGGAATACCATAACAAGTGCTTTTGAGCAGTTCGACTTGGCGCAATAATATCTTCACTCGTGAAAAGTCCTCTTACCGGCTCCCGCTTCCTCTCCCCCTCCCTCTGACATTTCCGTCAATGTTTACATAGGGAAAACGTGGAAGTGTTTGGTCGCTTCTCTGCTTGGCCCATATTTAATGCATGGGCTAAGCTAAGTGCTAACATAGTGTTGCGGCAATACAGAGCGATATAGTGCACGCACTGAGACGAGAGTGGTATGTATCAACTCGTCTTAGTTAAGGGGAATAACATAGTTTAATAAGAAAAACTGGTGGAGTATCCCTTTAAGCAGCACAACTGTTTTCAACATTGATAATAAAGGGAATGTTTCTTAAGCAGCAAATAATCATATTATAATGATTTCTGAAGGATCATGTGACACTGAAATTCAGCATTGACATCACAGGAATGCATTACATTTTAAAATATATTCAAATAGAAACAGTCATTATTAATAAAACAAATTGTAACATTTGAAGATATTAGTGTTTTTACTCATTTTTTGATCAAATAAATAACGTCTGTAATATAAATAAATCTAATATAATTACTACACAGTAATCTTTTCCATTACACACCTTTTTCCATCATTTAACATAATTCAACAATTATTTAACCTTTTTACTAATAGGTTTTAGAAAATTTCCTTACACATGAATCATCATCGTTCAGATGATCATGTCACGGTTTGTGGTGGTTTTAGTTTCATTTTCAAGGACTTTTAGTTTGTCTCCATTATTTCCTGTATTTTCTTTCGGTTGTCATTATATCTGGTTGTCATGGTTACTTATTGTTTGATTGATTTCACACACCTGTTCCTTGTTTTAATGGGCTATATGCACGCATAACTTCCGCGTTTGATGCAAGGATGCTCTTGCGTTTCCGGTTGGGGAGATTTAAAGCGGAGGAAAACGGGATTATGGCAGAGTCTTCAAAATTTACTGTCCTCTCGTCTTTGAAACGAAACTTTAATACGTTTAGATGTAATTTTATATATAGTTATGTTTATTTAATATAATAAACAAAGAAGCATAAACAAAACGAGGGGTGTCTGTTTTGTCTGTTTTTGTGACTAACGTTTCTTTAGTATAGCAATAGAGTATAAAAACCAATATAAATTCTCGGTATAGCATTGGACTCTACGATCGGCGGAAGTAATCCAGCATCCTTAGACCTTCACCGGAAATACCGCCGTGCATAGAGCCCATTCCTTGGTTAGCTGTGTAAATATAATGCCCTCAGTTTCATTCACTCATTGTTTGGTGTTGCCTGTGCCGTAGCACACTGTTACATTGCATATTTGTTTGTGGATTATTTGCTTTTGCTTTTTGTAAATAAAGTTACGCTGCTATTAGATCTGCTTTGCCTCACCTCGTCTTCTTCCTCTGACCGGATGTTACACATAGAATTAAACCAGGAACATTTATCATGAAATTTATATGGTAATGACAGAACTGTGTCCTTTCTGTTTGTCCATCAGGTTCTACTCATGAATATAGTGCTAGTCCAGATGATCTGGTGTTTAAGACTTTGGCTAAGGCCTACTCCAGCTATAACCCAGTGATGTCTGACCCAAACCGGCCGCCATGTCGCAAGAATGATGATGACTCCAGTTTCACAGAGGGCATCACTAATGGAGGAGCCTGGTACAGCGTGCCTGGAGGTACAATACACAGCTTCAGAAAATCACTCATCTGGTGTCTGTACTTCTTGTGCTGTCCATCAGAACATCTGTATAAAGGAGTTCAGTGACCTAGAAATAGTGCAGAGTTGTAAATCTTTATTGAGAAAAAAATTATAGAATTGTATACAACACAAATTATTAGTTATTATAAATGTGTTAAATGCCAGATTTTCAGTTTGGATCCCACTGTACTATATGGCAGAACCTGATTTTACCAGGTACAATATGTTCCTGGATCAGCATCTTTATTGATCCTAGAACAACATTCATATTAACCAATCAGATTTGAGGGACAACTTTAAAGTTTATGTCAAGTTGAGGCATACAACCAGGGTTAGGTGCTTCAGTGTTACCTATCATTGCCCTCTGATTTTAGGGATAACTTATGGGTAGGGTTAGGTTTAGGGGTAGGAATATGGTTAGCATTACATTTTCAGACAGGAAAGTTGTTCCAGGATCAACTAAACATGTTGACCCAGGAACACGTCTAACTCAGCAAAATCAGGACATGTGTATATTATATGATGCCATGGGTTAATGTGCTTACTCAGGACATTTATTTCATAAATGCTAAAGGCAGAAGGTTTAATACCAGATTTGCAAAGGAAACTAACAAAAAGTTTTTAAATGGCTAAACTTTTCAAGAGATCAAGATGGAGGTATTTTATAAGTTTACAGCTTTATTTAGTTGGAAGGAAACTTGTAAATTTATAGAAATGCCATCAAAATTTCTCAAAAGCTGGCTTTCAAATTAGCAGTTTGGGGAAGGTCTGATAGCATGACGCGAGCATCACCTAACACCAGTTCCTGGCCATGCTGATGTTCTTTCAAATCCCCACAGCCATGCTTCAAAATTTAGTGGAACAATTTCCTGGAAGAGTGGAAGCTTTTATAGCAGCAAAGGGGGATTAATGCAGATGGTTTTGAAGTTAAATGTGCAACAAGCTTATATAAGTGGGTGTTTGGGTTGTGCATGTTATGCATGTTAGCTACAAATAAGAAATTACCAAGAAAAATGGCACTCGCTGTCAGTTGTCAACCCTTGATGGTTCTTTTTTCTCTCTCTGTCAGGTATGCAGGACTTCAACTATCTGAGCAGTAATTGTTTTGAGATCACTCTGGAGCTGAGCTGTGATAAGTTTCCTCCTGAGGACTCACTCAAGCAGTATTGGGACCAGAACCGCAACTCACTCGTCAGCTATATAGAGCAGGTATACCCCGATCCTTTGCTTTCACATGCCTGGTGCTGACAGGAGGAGAGAGTTGTTTTGTTTTCTGTAAAGCTCAGACTTATGAGTCAGGATTAGAAGGATTTCATCCTTTTTGATCCCTCATGTCCTTCGCAGGTTCACAGAGGAGTAGCAGGATTTGTTCGTGATCTCCAAGGGAACCCCATTTCAAACGCTTCTATTTCTGTTGAAGGGATCGACCACGATATCACCACAGGTACACACACACACACACACACACACACACACACACACACAGCAATTTAATATTCATTTAAAGGCTAGGCACCACTAGCATCATTAAACAGAATTTATAACTATATGCAGTATATATTTCATTATTGTTTCATAATTGATGAACTTTGCGGCATTGACACTATTGAACTGAATTGAATTCACATTGAAATGACATGAGCTGAATAGCGACACTATTAAAGCTACTTTACAGCTGACATTGAAGTTTTTCGTAATTGATGAATTCTGCAACATTTATTTTTTAATTTAATTTTTTAAATATTAACATTTATTTTTTAATTTAATTTTTTAAATATTAACATTTATTTTTTATATTAACACCTAAACATTTAATTAGAATATATATATATATATATATATATGTGCTTTAGATATATACATACATATATACATACTTACTGTATAGTACGTCAAAAGTTTGGAAACATTACTATTTTTAATGTTTTGAAAGAAGTCTCTTATGCTTATCAATCCTGCATTTATTTGATCAAAAAAAAAAAAAAAATACTGACCCCAAACTTCACAAAAGTAAAAAAGAAAATTGTTACAAAATATTTCTATTTTAAATAAATGCTGATTTTTTTTGTTTACTTTTTATTCATCAAAGAATCTTCACAGGTTAAAAAAAATAATTAAGGAGCACAACTGTTTTCAACATTGATAATGAATCAGCTTATTAGTATGATTTCTGAAGGATCATGTGACACTAAAGACTGGAGTAATGATGCTGAAAATTCAGCTTTGCATCACAGAAGTAAATTATAATTTAAAGTATATTAAAATAGAAAACCATTATTTTAAATCGTAATAATTTTTCACAATATTACTGTTTTTCTGTATTTTTGATCAAATAAATGCAGACTTGATGAGCATAAGAGACTTCTTTCAAAATCATTAAAAATATAAATGTTTCCAAACTTTTTAATAATATATACATATACAAATAATTTATACATTGGTTTTTAACCTGTCAGTGAATTCTGCCTACAATTTTTTTATATTTAATGTCTCTGCAAATGAAGGTCTTATATAAGAAAGGCTTTTTTAAAGAATAAACAATACACATTTCGCCTTTATGGCATGAACTCTAGAACCCAGCATGGTTACTGCTGGAAACAATTGTGTGTAGGTCTGCCCTCTTGTGGCCATTGTTTGCCACTTTATTTGCAAGTTAAATCACTCTCATTCTTTTTTTCTTTAGCTAAGGATGGCGATTACTGGCGCTTGTTGGCTCCTGGTAACTACAAAGTATCAGCATCTGCTTCTGGGTACCTCACTGTGGTCAAGAAAGTAGCTGTTCCCCACAGCCCTGCTACACGGGTAAACACAGACCCTCTTTCTCTTCCTCTTCTAATAATATCTCATTTCCCCTTTCTCATGTCTCCAATTTCTCTCAATCTCAGCTGGATTTTGAGCTGGAGTCGCTGGAAGAGAGGAAGGAGGAAGAGAAGGAGGAGCTCATGGATTGGTGGAAGATGATGTCAGAGACACTCAACTTCTAACTGACCTGAAGCAGAGGCCATCACAAGCATTCTGGGTGTAAAATATTTATTGTCATATGTGTGTGCTCATAAACCTAAAAGAACTTAATTCAGCTTCTTTTATTTTATTTTATTTTTTAATTGTTTTATGTTAGAGGCACTACATCTGAACGTATTTACAGTACAACAGCCATATGCACATTATACAATTCATACATGTTAACAAAGACAACCGGTGGTAGAGCTGGGCTAGGTTCCTGCATACTTTAGATGGTTGTCCTTGTAAATATGGATGAATGCATATATTTCCACTAAATGAAATGCTGGAAATATCCTGTGTTTCCTGCAGGCATGCAAAGGTAATTACAAGTACACACAGAAAAGAAACACATAACATCGATATTGTGGAGGCATTGGACCGATCCATTTCTCTTTTGTAACGTTGTGTTTTACATTGATATTGTGAGATTCTTTTGTTGCTATGGTCACCAATCACGCCAACCAATCAGAGAGCACTGTGTTGTGATGAATGTTTATTCAGCAATGAATATTACTATTTATTCTGATTATGACTGAAGCTGATGTAGACAGCACTCATTTACACCTGATCTCAAGTCTGTTTCTGTTCAAACACTGTTTCAATAATATTATGCTTGATGTTTTGAATGGGAGTGCTTTTGATAAACCTGTTTCATTTACTAATGCTTTAATAATTACAACTTTGAATATCATATCCAGACAATTGTTCAGATGAATAGAAAATGGAAGAGGTTATCAATTGAACTCCTATCTTATGTTATAAGAACTATATAGGAAATAAAAAAATGATGAACATATGATAGATAATAGCTATAAATCTGTGTTATCTATGTTTGTAAAGCAGAGTTTCATTTCAGATCATTTAACAGCAGATTTTAATGGCACAAGCTAAACAAATAGAAGTTTATCTAGATCTGATGGTTTTGTAATCTATACCAAAATGCACAATTGTGCCCAATGAAGTACCATCTGCAGTCTTTATTGAACATTCTGTAATATATTGTCTTTTTTGTCTGTTTCAGTGTCTTTATAATTCGTGTTTTTCTGTCATATGAAATGGCACATGTTAATGCTAAATCAATGACCATTATGATCAAGTCTATAATCCTGCATTCAGAATTGGTCCTACTGATTTGATCAATTTCATGCTCATTGAAATTAAACAAATTAAAGCTTAAACTTTCGATATTAATGCCATGAAATGGCATTTTAAAGCCAGCTTATATATTTGTCCTTTGAGACTTCAGTGGTATGTCTTGTATATGAATGTAATGATGGTTTAATTGAATGACGCATTTCGCAACCAAAATAAACTTCCCTTTCTGTTGTCAGACTTCCTCCTGTTTTTCTTGTCTTTCTAAATCAATGTCTCTGTTTTCTCTTAATAGCTGCACATACTAACATTAGTGGTATTAAAATGAATAAGTGTGACAGCAGTAAGTAGGGTCTAGAAACATTTTAATGGTAATATATAACACGCAGAAAAAAGGCCTCGGGTCCATACCTTCTGACTATACAGTATCCAATAATTAAAACCATTCAACAACATAGTTATGGTATAATATATAAACACTTTAGTTTAGGGTCCAATTCTCACCAGCTTATCGGCATGCGTATTACTAGGATATTGGCTGTTTATTAGTACTTACCTGTATAAAGCACATAATAATGGCTTATTATGCAACAATATTCTACATCCTTTAATCACCCAATACTGAACAACTACCTAACTATTAATGAGCAGTAATTAGGAGTTTATTGAGGCAAAAGTCATAGTTAATAACAGTGAGAATTGTACCATTGTGACCATATACTGCATGTATGTATACATGCATGTATGTGCACACACGCACGCACGCACACACACACACACACACACACACACACACACACACACACACACGGGCCATTGTGACCATATACTGCATGTATGTATACATGCATGTACACACACACACACACTGGATTATACCATAGTAGGCTAAATAGAAACTTTAATGTGTCACTGTTTTGTCAGTGAGATTAAACAAGTTGTGAACAAAGAATAATGTTTAGGTAGCCTAGCTTTAGTAAAAGTAAAGTTTTAACTGCTTTTCACTGCTATCCGCGAAGTTCTCCAGTTATGTAAACTTGTGCAGGCAAGTTACTCAGCTCTATTCTCTATAGTTGCTTGCATAGCAGATCCAAGCAGTCTCGCCCATTATTCATTCCTTACCTATTAGCATAAACCTGATCAATACTATTGATCAGAGAGGACACAGGAACTGTATGGCAGTTCTCCTGTTGGCCCAGAGGGATCCCAGAATGCCTAAAACAGCAATACTATCTCTCTGAGGGACGCTCCTCTCATTATTTCCCTGAGAGAGGGTGAGAGTAGCATTGATATGTGTTTAATTAAAGCTAAAAATACACATGCGCTCCAGTCTCCCAAGAGAGCTGACACCGATATCTAATTGAATGCATTAAACAACAGCACAAAGTTTTCACAAACGGCCAATTACTTTTGCACTTGACTGTTTGGAGTCTTGGCTGACTTGGGCATGTTTACTTTCTTTTTAGATGGTTTCTCCCTCTGCCTTTTTCATAACAGTTCCGATAGTTTCTTTCTTTCTTACTCTCTTTATTTCTTTCTTTGATGGCCATGTGTAAATAGTATAGTCTGGCAAATGAAAGTGAACATCAACAGAGGGCGCTGTTGAAACATTTTATGTTACATGTTGGCTAAATGGACAATCAATGTTACCTTGTGGAAGTTAGAGGAAAAGTTATTAGAACGTTATAAAGCAGCTCTTATGTATCATTTAAATGTATACTCATGTTCCACACACACATTCGTGTATCATCGAGACTCTAATTTTAAATGAGGCAGCATATATGTGAACTGACACAGGATGTTGTTTTACCCCATTTCCCTAGTCAATGTGCGACGTCTAATGCTCATAGTGCCTACATTATGAACATAAAGGTATTAATCCAAAATGTTAACAAAAGCAGGCCTGTGGATCTCAGCCGTGCTACTGAACTAGTGCCAAGTGGATAACAGATACATAAACTCTCCCAAAAGAAGACACAAATTGGAAGGACACACAAGAGAAATCAGAAATCAGAGATCAGGACTGAAAAAGACATCGCCAGGAGATAAAAGTGGTCACATGCTTCATTTCTTTGTGTGTGTGTGTGTGTGTGTGTGTGTGTGTGAGAGAGAGAGAGAGAGAGAGAGAGAGAGAGAGAGAGAGAGAGAGAGAGAGAGAGAGAGAGAGAGAGAGAGAGAGAGAGAGAGAGAGAGAGAGAGAGAGAGAGAGAGAGAGGATACATGTGAATATGTGAGGCAGAATGTGTGTTATTGAGGCAGCTTTGCTTTGATTCGAGAGCTGTTTCAAATCCTCTGCTTCTTTCCGTTCTCTTCCCTCTTTCTCTTTTGTTCTTCTGGGTGGCCTAACCTTCTCTCCTTTCACCAAATAGCCTTCTATCACTGGGCTGTGAACACCATCCTAATCTGTGTGTGTGTGTGTGTGTTTGTGTACAGTATGTGTGCGTTTGCAACGAAAGAATAATGAGTGAGATTCATGTTCGTGAGCATCTGTCTGTTTAGTGTATGTTAATGGTTTGTGTATGCAGTGTGCCTGTGGGATGTGATTATATGTACGAGTGTGAGTGTGTGAGAGAGAAAGGGGGAGATGCTGGAAAGGTCATTGGGTCCAGAATATGTTTTGTGATGGTAATCATAGGATGTGATCGTCCCGTAGTCCTCTCTTTCTGTCTTTCTCCTTTGGCAAATTAAATATATATATATATATATATATATATATATACAGTACATATAAAAAATGAGAATAAAATAAAAAAATAAAAAAAAATAAAAAAAAAATTGTAGCTGGACCTAAATAAAATTTAAAAAGTGTTTTTGTATAGCCTTTTTAGAACTCAGGGTATATTTATTTAAGAGTATCATAAACAACAAAAAGAACAATTAGGCCTAACTGGAGAAAACAAAATTAAGATGATTAAGATTAAAGATAATTATTAAATGACTTTTGTCATTTATTATTTTCACATTGTGTTTGATGAAACGGGCAAAAAATCCCCATAGATTTGAAGGAGATCCCTGGTTCATGTTGGGTTCAGAACTCTATAGAGACTGATGGATTGGACTCTTTCGGCTTGGGACAGTAATCTCCCAGAACACTAACCATGCAGCAGCTTGCTAAAAACCACTCAGAATCACCCACAACCTGGCAACCACCAATAACACCCGTATGGCGGTAAGTTTTGGACCTCTCGCATTTTATTAATACAATGCAAAAATCTAGTTTAGTTGTACCTTGGCTTGGGGTTTGAGTGTAGTCTAAACTTTGGCATTCTTTGCTTATTGTTGGAATGTGTTATAATCTTTTGTTTTTTACCTGTGCATGTGTGGCTATTTTTACCCAAGAAACACCTCTAAACTGTATCTATTAATCGTGATACATGATGGGCTACTGTAAGGAAATCCAGCTGTCTCTCTCTGTGTGTGTGTGTGTGTGTGTGTGTGTGTGTGTGTGTGTGTGTGTGTGTGTGTGTGTGTGTGTGTGTGTGTGTGTGTGTGTGTGTGTGTGTGTGTGTGTGTGTGTGTGTGTGTGTGTGTGTGTGTGTTGTGCGCCTGCGTGTGTGTGTGATTGATTCTCTTTTTGATCTGATGGGTGATCCTGCATCTCTCTTTTAATTTAAAAAGCGCAGTGTAACCTCTTGTTCTTTGTCTTTGTAACAAAAGTCACATCCTGAATACAATGTTAACTCTTTGAGTGTGTCCAGCACACCGAGGCTGCATTTGCCCAGTGGCTGCGGTGGAGTCTGACAAACAGATGCCCTGGAGGCGTTTTCATGCGACTGTTGGACTTTGAGTTTTATATATTAGAGCAGCTGCTGCTGGGGATCAGCCAATCACAGAGATGAGCAGTCACTTCCACAGACACCTCACAGAGACCCCGGCAGAACACTGCCACAGCCAATCAGAGACAGCGTGTGATAGGTCACTACCCCAGGCACATACACACACACACACACACACGTATATGTGTTTTTCAAATTTTC